TAATGCAGCAATAGTCCAGTCAGCTAGTGGTTTGATTGGTTATCAGAGGAGTGAATAGACTCATGGGACTTATTCTGTTGTTAAGAAACATTAATGAAAACCTGACATGCCCCAGAGTCAGCAAAACCATCTACAGTCGCAGATAGATGATAGAGACACAAACATACCTATACCATGCCTACTCTTCAACTTCTAAAGCCAGCCTACCCGTACACCCTAGTGTAAGCTGGGTGCTTGCCAAACCACAAGATTATGAAACAAGGAGAGGCACAGGAGAGCAACAGCAGTTAACTCTTGTTATATTTTCTCTTTGCTCCTCTGTGTCTATTGGTGCCTCCGTACATTTGGAATGTAAGTTCTTTAGAAGATAGAATGGGGTTTTCTCTCAGTGTCTTACATAGTGACTCAGGAGGCGAAGCACTCTGGCCCCTGACTTGTGTTTCTAGGTGTTATGATAGTACAAATACTGTGTAATAACAATTACGTGCTCTGAGAGATTTCCAGGGCAGGCAATTATTCCTATCTGCTCAAGTAATGTACCTGTGTAAGAACAAGAATTTAACTGAAGCCCTTAGGAGATACTAGATGTGCCATTTCTCTTGAAAGCCTATTCCAACCATTAATGTCTTCCACTGTTAAAAAATGCCTGTAATTTATAATTAAAATTTGTTTTATTTCAGTTTATATGTATTTTTCTTGGTATGCCTCTCACTGTTCAAGATTAAAGATCCCTGTAGCCACCTTCCAGTCTTCTTTTTGATAAGCCAAGCAGATTGTGCTCTTTAAGTCTCTTCATGAAAAGAATTTTCTCCAGCCTCAAATAACTTCTCAGCTTTCTTTTGACAAGTACACCAGAGACTAGCACAGTATTACCACAAAAATCTCTTCAATACCATACGTAAAAGGAAAATAATTTCTTTTTCTACTTGCTACATCTCTGAATTTTTAGGCAAAGATTCCATTATTTGCTTATACCATAGCATTAGACTGGAAATTGATTTTTGCTGTCCTGGCTGCTAGCTCTTAAGTTCTTTTCAGTTGCCGCTCTCCACAACACATCCTCTTATCTCAGCAGATGTGACCCGCTTACTGTATTTTTAAGTAACTCTGCTTATGTCTATATTAAAATACACTGTATCTGAATGGGATGAATTTACCAAACAATACAAATCTTATGATAACCCCAGCCTGAATTTAATTTCCCATTTAGCTACTCAATGTCTCTTCACAGCACATCAGTTTTGCTTTCTCATAGATGCATTAGCATTTTCAGCAATTTGTTTTTCTTTTAGGATCCCTACCCTCTCCTGCCAGCTCTCTGGAGCAACTTCACCCTTCCATTTTGCTGTTCAGTGCATCCCATCTACCAGTTTCCTGCATAAACTTGTCTGTTTCCCTAAAGCCAGGGTTTGTGGTCTGCTCTCCTTCCTCAGCCCGCATAGGATCGTGTACTCCACTCTTCAGTCACTACAGCCCAGGCTTTGATAACCAAGCCATTGATTACTACACCCCCAGTTCCTGAAGAGCAGATCCAGCTGGGAATCACTCCTGGTTGGTTCAGCCAGGCTCATAATGCCTTCCAGAAATTTCCTTGTTTGCTTGCATTCTAATGTAATGTTGTGCTTGCATTCTAATGTAATGTTGTACTTGCAGCAGACTGAAATTTCCCCAAAACCCAGGGTCTGTGATCAAGATATTTCCTTGTTCCTAATTAAAGTTCTCCTCGGAAGGTTGGCTGGCCAGTTGGCAAAGGTGCTCCTATTCCTTTTGTCAGATGGATCTTGTCTGTGATACAAGATATGACTGATATCTTTTCTCAGGCAAGGTTGGTTACCATACTGATCTATATGCATTACACTCACTCTGTTTTCAAAGCTCTGTTTCTTCAAGCATACCCAAACACATGCACAATCCTGGTCTACCCACCCTTTTTTTTCCTTTAGCTCATCAAACATCTGGCATACTTAATTTTTGAATAATTCCAAAGCCCCAAGGGGCTTAATGATGACAATTGAGTGATAATTTCTGATTCTCTTCCTCATTTCCTCATATTTTACTTTAATTCAATGGTTGAGAGTATAGAAAGTGTTTCTACATTTCCTCTTGTTCTATGTGGCATGAGTTTAGTTTGCTTATAACACAGCACCTCAGTTTGCATGGCATTTTAGAACAAAATGAGTCTCTCTGTAGGTTACTAATTTAGCATCTTCCCAGCTGCTTTGCTTAGTCTCCAGCCACAATTAGCCCACATCTGACAGATACAAGCCAGCATAGCCACTTATCCCCCATTCTTTTTGAAATGCGGTCCAATACTCCACAATATCTAAATTTTCCCTTGGAACTACAAACAGAAAGAGCACATCATGACAAGCATATTTTGTCTTCTTTCTCTGATTTACAGGCAGGAAGAAACTTCTAGGCAATCTCTGACTTTCCGTTCAAGTACCTTTCAAGATTTCCTGCAGTATTCTATGGCCTGTATGGTTCCACTTGATGCCACATAATTGGTTCCAAACTGAATTATCTCCCAGATAACCGTATCAGCTTCTGCAGTAGTGCAATTGCTTTTCCTGTTTTTTGCTTCAGGGAGACAGCACGCTGTCTCATTTTTCTGGTGTCATGTTTTAAAGATTTTGTCTACTCTGGATGATAGAGGAGTATCTGCTGTGGTATGTCTGATTAATAATGTAAGGAATTATTGTTTTGGAGATGTATGGTCAGCACTGTATTTCAGTAAATGAACTGCTGGACATATGAAGGTTTGACTCTTCTAGCCAGCTAAATACCTGTTCTTGCTTTTTTTTGCTCATAAATGGCCAATCAAATACTTTTTTCTATTCTTTCCCATTCCCCTGATGCTGTCCTCCCCCATGGTTTCTGTGGCAACAAATTCAGAATGTAGTCATCCAAGAGGTGTTCATTTTCTCAGATACTATGTTTTTGAAACATACAACTCTAGGCCTCAGATATCATATAGAAGAATTTTATATGATATCTCAGAATATTTCAGGGTACAGTAGAGTTCAGTTGTAATACTTTCTTAAGTCATATTCTTTATGTTTCAGCTGAAGGAAAAGTTCCTATTCCATTAACTTAGTTGCTAAAGAACTTTTACTTCTGAAGATCACAGAATATGCACTGACATATTTTTAATAATAATGCATCTGAATCTGCTAGACATTTCCTCTATATGAAAAAAGACAGGGTGTTGCATATCTTGGCTAGCTTTATGCTTCTTTAATGCAGGTATCGACATCTTGAACAAGTTATCCAGATTTCTGTTACAGTCTGCAGGCAAACACATGATTCAGCTCTTCCCCAAGCAGATCCCTCAAGTAGTTGATATGACTAGTCTACACGTCAGCTTTATTTTCCAAGACTGGGGCATGCAAATCACAGACTCTCAGAAACCAGTGGGTCAGTCATCTAGAAATAAAGCAAGAAAAAGAAGAGAGAAATTAACAGGCACATGCCCCTCCACATCCCCATCTTCCTGGGAGTGACCCTGGAGGGGCAGCTTTTCCAGCTGCTGTTGGGATGCAAGAAGTCACTTGGAAGTTATCTTGGCATGAGTGACTGAGTTGATAGGAAGCATAAGTTTCCTTAATTCCATTCCCTAACTTGCTTTTACTGTTTAGCTGTGAGTTATGCCTATTCACACTCCTCACCTCTCCATCCCACACAGGAACTCTTTCCCTGGACACAGATCACCGCTTGCATTAAGCCAACATGCACCAACTTCCCTCCTGCCCCCCAGCTCTCCCACTGCCAGTGCTTGCTCAGCACTCACCCATTGGATTTCAAGTCTCTTTTTAGTCTAGAGAAGAGGAGGCTCAGGGGGGACCTCACCATTCCCTACAACTACCTGAAAGGTGAAGGTCTCTTCTGCCACACCTACAGTGAGAGAATGAGAGGAAATGGCCTAAAGCTGAGACAAGGTTCAGATCAGATATTAGAAAAAATTTTTCACTGTTAGGGTGGTCAGTATTTGCCAGCAGGTGTTGCCAGCAGGTTAAGGGAGGTGATCCTGCCCCTCTACTCTGGCCTGGTAGGCCATATCTGGAGTACTGTGTCCAGTTCCAGGCTCCCCAGTGCAAGAGAGACATGATGCTCCTGGAGCAGGTCCAGCAGAAGGGCTACAAAATTTTTCAAGGGACCGGAGCATCTCTTTTACAAGGAAAGGCTGAGGGAGTTGGACCTGTTCAGCCTCGAGAAGAGACAACTGAGAAGGGATCTCATCAATGTCTATACGCATCTAAACAGGGGATGCCAAGAAGATGGAGCCAGGCTCTCCTTGGTGGTGCCAAGCAATAGGACAAGAGGCAACAGGCAGAAAGTGATGCAGAGGAAGTTCCACCTGAATACCAGGAAGAACTTTACTGTGTGAGTGACCGAACACTGGAACGGATTGCCCAGAGAGGCTGTGGAGCCTCTCTCACTAGAGATATTCAAGAACCATCTGGATGCAAGCCTGTGCAATGTGCTCTAGGACAACTCTGCTTGAGCAGGGAGGTCCATACCAGATATGTACCCTGCTGTGGTCCCTTCTAGCCTTACCCATTCTGGGATTCTGTGGTCAGACATTGGAATACCACCAGGGAGGTGGTGGAGTCACCCATGGGGGTGTTTAAGAAGCGTTTGAATCTGGCGCTGGATGATAGTGTCTAGTGGTTTAGGGGTTACTGCGGGTTACAGTGGCAGTGCTGCTGGGCTGACGCTTGGGCTGAATAATCTTACAACCGTGACAATTCTATGAGCCTGTGACTTTGTAACTCCCACGCCAACAAGGAACACCCATCAGCTCTCCTCCCCCGGCGCCGCCGATCGAGCATGCCCGGCACGGTCGGGGCGGGGCGGAGGCGGAGGGGCGGGCGGGGAGCCGGGCGCTGACCCGGCGGGAGGCGGGGCCGGGCGGGGCGGGATCCCGGGAGCCGGTGGGTCGCGGGCGGAGGGAGCGGGGCTGCGCGGCGCGGTGGGAGCTGCGCGCCCGGCCGTGGGGGCCCCGCGCCGGCGCCGGCGGGGGCGGGGGGGGGCTGCCCCCGCCGCCTGCGTACCTTCCTTCCTTCTTTCCTTTCCTTTCCCTTCCCTTCCCCTCCTGATCCCGCACGGCCCGGCCCGGCTCCACTCGGCTCGACACTGTGATTGGGCGGAAGATGGCGCTGGGCGGATGGAAATCCTAATGACAGTCTCCAAAATCGCCTCCATCTGTACCATGGTGAGGGAGTGAGTGAGTGCGGGACCGGGGCTGCGCTGCCCTGCCGGGTCCCGGGGGTGGGGACGCGGCGGTGGCGGCGGGAGGCGTGCGGGGGGCGGGCTGCGGGGGCGGGCGGTGCGGGGGCGTGGGCCAGTGTCCGCGGAGCGGGAGCGCTGCCGTGGGTGGCGATCGGGAGCGGAGCGGGGTTAATCGGCTTTGGGAGACTCAGCCGGGATGCGGGCGCTGAGGGGGCTGGGCTGGGGGAGGGCGGGAAGGCGGGGTCCCGGCTTTGGATGGAGTAGGAGTGCGGGGTAACCAAGCACAGCCTTCCCCGAAGTGCGCCCGGAACAGGGGACGAGAGCTCCAGGGCATCGCCTCCAGTGAGAGTCTGCGTTTTGTAGGTGTGTAGTGGTCCCAGTCGGGTTTCTGGAAGCGCCCTCCTCCTCCCGGCACACTCCATAGCGTCCCCGGCTCTCCGAGCGCTACGCTCCTGTGCTGGGGCAGGAATCGCCCATCGGCGGGCGAGTGCTCCCCCAGTTACCCGGACAAGTGCGAGCATCCTGTCCCGCCGGGTCGGCTCCTCGCGTTGGCATGTAATCCGGCTTGTTTGCATCGATCCAGGTCCTGCTAGGAGGCTTCTGCCAGTGATTGCTTTTTCATTACTCCCTCTCGTGATAAATTAGAGCCATAAGCAGATGTACAGATGTGATAAGGCTCTCTTGGGTTATTTTAAAGAGGGATGGGGAGCTCAGTAGATTCGCTGATGGAGGAATGATGAACTTAAGGAACAAAATATCCCTTAGTAGAAGTTACTAGTTATCATGGAAGAGATATGTTGATGGCTCATAGCAGAAGGTCTTGCATTTGTGCTCTCTTCTACCTGTTCCATGACCATATGAAAGTTCTTGTTCCCAAATCTATTGCCACGGGGGAAGAGAAGAGATGGTTAGGGGGGGAAAAAGCTGAATTGCCATTATAATACCTCATAACATCAAGCACTGGGAAATGCTTACATTTTTTACTATTGGGAACTGCTTTATGGTTTTCATAAATCTCGTTGTGAAGAGGCCTTAGCATCTCAAACAGACATTTCAGTGGTGGCCCATGAGAATTTTAAATGAATGTCTGTAAGGCCATAGGATGGGATTGCTCAGGTGGTGGCTGGTCACTGGAGTAGTGTATTTTTGTGACGTGGGAGATCACATCTATTAGTTTGGACTTGAAAAGTATGACTTCTTGAATTAATCAGCTGTATACCAACATCTTTATATGGCCAAATGTTGTAGGAAATGTACCAGGTACTTCAGGAGTTTTCATTATCTGAAGTAGTCAGGTTTTATGTTAGGTTGTTGAGGAATCGGTGTGATTGATCCCTTAGCTAGGGTGAATCTCATTTTATTGCAGGTCTAGCTGATATCTTTTCACCCAGAGTTGACCACTAGCCTTTGCGTCAATATAAATTCAGTGCTGACCTCTTGATTTAGGTCGAGTATGAGACCTCGCTGGTCTGCTTCTGGACTACATTAAAAACTGTAGGTCTGGACTGGCCAAGCAGACAGTTTAAGATTATGCTTATTAGAAATGACGTTATGTCTCTGGGATTTAGGTCAATCCTGAAACAAATTTTTCAATTAAAAATATTCTTATGACTAACTAAAGTGTCTATATCCATAAAGCTGAAGATTCTGATGGCAATTAGATATTATCTGTCCAATCATTATTGTGTGCAGTGAAATGGATAAACTCCAGGCATAAGATTGTCCCTGGGCGTTTCTGATCCGTGAGTTTTAATGGTACTGTGATATGGGACACCTAGTATAGGATACCTGCTGTAAAAGCTTTTCAACAGTTAATGTAAGATTGTGCTTAAAAATATATCAGTAAAGATAGTGTGAAGGAGCACTTGGTGTTTACTGTGGAATAGTTTGAACAGTATGGTTGTGGTAAGGCAAATCTTTTTAATTTTAACAAGAGTCAAATGCTCATGTTTAGACATACATTTTGCAAAACTGTAAAGGAATCTAAGTGCTGAGTAATACTATTTTTTTTTCTGTCAATGCTTCTTTGTGTCAAAACACTCTTTGATACAGTGCCAGACAACTACCTAAAAATTCTTTCAAGTTTTTCTTGCCTTTTCACATGCCCCTTACACAAACTCTCAGGCTGTTGCTTCTCTTCTTGTGATTGCTTAGTACAAAACCAGTAAGTGGCAATTTTTGTCGAGAGACAGTTTGTGCCTACACAAACCTAGTATGCATGTAGAGTTATAATGTGTAACAGTCCAGAACTGTATTGAAGAAGTTCTTCCATTGTGGTTCTGTGTTTCATAACTTGTTTTTCTTTTTTTAATCCGAATTCAAGTTTTTCTTCTGCTGCCTCAGTTATATTTTGTGCATCTTACCCTTGTTGTTCAAGCCCTGAATATTAGAAAGCAATATACTATGTTTTACAGTACTGGCAGGTTGTGTGGGTACAGTGTAGGTCAATAACTAGTATTTTTAGTTTGTTATCTATGATGCCTTTTAGGGATGATCTTCCAAAAGGACATTCTGTCTACAGGATTGGTTCCTTTGTATGCTTCATTAGTTTATTGATCTATACTCTAGTGTTCATACCAGTGATGGCAGAGCTCTTTCTGTAGGATGGTGTCCAAGTGTTGTATCCCTTTAAGCTTCCTTAAAATTCTTTGCTCTACATCACCACTCCCATGGTCTTTTGTGCTGTAGTAATTACAAGGCTGGAGATTGTGGAAAAGCACTGGAAGTACCTTTGCCCTTGAGTGGTTTAGCCACTGTTCTTTTTGCAAAATGGATGGGGTTAAAATTGTGAGGTCTTTTTTTTTTAAATTATTTTTAATCTCTTTACAGTAAAAGTAGAACTTGGTCTTTTACCCTTACCGATGCATGAAACTGCAGTCAAAGTCTTACCTGACTGAGTTATGTGGTGCTTTTATGCATGGCTGAGGAGTGATAAAGTAACCTGTGCTAACTGCAACAGAGATGTGTCCTAGTTTATGTTCACCATAAATACAGATTGTTCTAGTACTTCTGACTTTTGCTTCAGGAAAACAGGAAACACTTGTTAGCAGCTGAAAGGTATCAAGTCTTAGAGTAGCTGAAAGAAGGAGAACACATAAATTATCTTTGTAGCTTAAAAGCTACAAAAAGACTCAAAGATGTCAGTCTCAGACATACTGAAGGAAGTTGTAATGGTAGTAGTACTTGTTTTTTCATTGTTTCTGCTAGAAGGTGGTTGATTTTGTTAGCACAACCTGAAAAGGTGTGATGATATTTAAAAGCAAGGCTAATCTAGAAGCTGTAGCATTAGACGTGAAAATCTTCTTTGTGTTTCAGGTATTTGTCTATGTATTCCCTTCTCTATCTGCCAGAGCAGCATCTTGTATGCAGGGTCAGTGTCACTGATTGTCTTCAGTGACCGACTCAGCCCCCCAACACTGACATCAAATACCTAGTTTGTGCCTAGATGTTGATTGCAGGATGTAGCTGTGTGTTCTGCCTGAGAAGTCTGTCTGTGTCTTAGAATCCAAATTTTTGTTCTGTTTTTGAAAGGATTAAGACATGTGGAGTTATGCTGAACTGCTGGCTATTGTCCTTTCCCTATCTGTCTCCTCTAAGGGTACTGTCACCAGTAGTACCTTTTTGCCCGTTTCAGTCACGCTTAAGGGTGAAGAGGTTTCAGAGGTACTAAAGTTCAAACATGCATGTGTGGAAGAAGGCTTAGCAGAAAGACATGCTGGAAGAACCCAGCTGAGGGAAGGTTGCAGTGTATGGTGTCATAGCAGAGAGGCTTTATTAAAACTCTAAATTGCATGAAAATTTTACAGCTAACTGTGACATAAGTATGCATATATGGGCTTTATTAGTGCTTAAGGAATCGTTAGTTTACAATGGGATTTTCAATCCTGATTGTGAAATCTGCACTTAATGTAAATTGATGTTTGCCAGAGTCTGCAGCCAGCCAGAAATGGCTATGATGTACTCAATCCTGTTCCTTCTAATTGCACCATCTCCTCTGAAGCGCGAATTATAATACTCAAACATTAATTGATGATCAAGTTAACAGATTCCACTGGAAAGTATACAGAGGACTCATGCTGGAAGAAATGAGGATTGAGAGTTACATGAAGGAAAGAAAAGTTGTGGGAAAACATAGCTTCAAAATGAGGAGGTGACAGAAAAGAAAGCAGAGGAGAAGAGGACTAAAGTAACACGGAATAAATACCAGTGTTGTGGTATTCCTTTATCCAGCTGTCTGACTTGCTCATGTAGCACGGGTGGCAAGAAGGAACATGTGCTATGTCTCAGCCACTGCATTTCACTTTGGCATGATGACCTGAATCTGCCGTGATCAGTGGACTGGAGTGTTCAGGCACGTGTTCTCTTGTGGTGGTTCTGTTGCAAGCACTTGAAATTTTGGAGAAGTATTTGTTAGGCAGTTGAAGTAAGAGCTTAAACCACATTAGGGAGGTTCACTCATCTGGTGGGAGTTCTTATCAGGAGAATATTTCATGATAAACATGACACTAAGATTCAAGCATGATTGAGACATTTGTCATCATCATTTCTGTAGATGCAACATGCTGCAATATGGTAATAAAGGATGAGTCTGTGTATTTGCTCTTTAAAATACAAGGTTTGTGATATGGGCTAGTATACTAATTAATTTAGACAAATTTGTTTTAAATTTTCACCAAAATAGGAGTTTGACTCTAGTATAAAACAAATGTCAAATATGAGACACAAAGGAAAAAATTCCTGAGGTTGTGTAGCTGTAAAGCAGTCTTTATGCCAGCACAGGGAATTATTTAGTTGAGATATTACTTAGTTGGATAATTTTATTTATATAAATGTTCCTTTTTCTTTTTACCTGCATGTATGCTTATATGCATCTTGCAAGTCCTGAGCACTAAGAAACAATGAAATGCAAACTTGGACTCTAGTCTTGCCAGCAGAATTTTTAGCTATGTCAGTGGGAACAACTAATCTGATTACTAGACTTGAATATTTAGGTTGGTCATTTATGTAGTCCTTTTTATTTACTTTTTACATTTCCAAAGCAATTAATTTGCATTAAAATTTCTAGGAATGATTCTGTAAAAATGTGGTAAAAGGATGTCTGTTCATTAATGATATTGTCTGCTTTTCTCTTTCAAATTTGTTGAGGGGAAGAGGTGTATAAAAGCCCTGTGTAAGGGGTAACTTTTGTTTTCCTAGCTTAGGAAGATTGCCAAAGTTAAATGCTTTTGACAAATGATTTATTTCAGTAAGGTCTATCTGATCTTCCAGTTTAGCAAAAAAAATCTAGGTCTTTTTTGTAGTGTAGACCAAAACTGGAAAACATTTTTACCATTTTTCATAAACTCAAATTCTTTTTATGATTCCATGAAAATGGGAAGTTAGAAATATATTTGTTTTCTGAAACTGGAATTATGTGGGTTAAAAGAGCATCTGAAACACACCACAGCATGCAGTTCATCAACAACAGCAGTTGAGTAAGTTGAGTAAGCTGTTCTGCCTACTCGGCCTGCCTTTTGGGTAGTTAGGTAAGTTTAATTTTTCTGAAATATTAGCTTATCTTTAACTTCAGTATTCAAAACACAAAGAAGTATGACTACATCTAGCTGGTGTGAAGGCAAACAGGTTGTGCACGCTCAGTGAGGCTCAAAAAATTGGTGTAGTAGACATACCAAATGTGAAGAGAAATTAATTTTGTGTTATGGTATAATTTTCCTTACTCAGGCACAGGTGTTTTCACTTTGTACTCAATGAAAAACCTTTTGTCTTAGCTGCACATTATAATAATATACAGGACTATACCTTAAACTAATTAGTTAATAAAATAACACTATTTTTAAAGTATTTTAAAAATATTAACTGAAACTATCCAGGTATTTCATAGTTAAATTATCAAGTTGTATATTACTAATGCGTGTTCTTCTGCAAAGAAATGAACAACAAGGATTATTGAATCCCACTTATATTTCACTTCTGCTTCCTGGCTAGAAACACTATCAAATGAATTATGTTTCCATTTTAGTTGCAGTTGAAACAACAGATATAAACTGATTTAATATAGCTGTTCTCTTTGCTCTTAATCCTGATTCATATAAATACACAGAAATGTATGAATTCACATATTCTGATAAAGCATAACTGGAAGAGTAGAGTTACACATTTCTTCTTTAACAGAAGATTCCATCAGTTACAGTGCCTTCATTAATGCATTAATCTATGAAATTCTGTATACCTTCACTAGTGGCATGGGCAAGGAAGAATCTTCTAACCCATAGTAAAAAAAAAAAAGTGAAATCACTAGTAAGTGAGTGCTTCTGTACGGAGATTTATTTTTGCAAATTATAAATAATTATGTTAATTTGTTTTAAACGTGAAATTTTGGTTTTACTTAGGAAATTTACAACTCAATCAAACTAGAGGATAAAGCTGTTAAGTAAACTACTGAAAAGATGACCCACCAAATTATCAACTGATATTTATTCTAGAAAGGGGATAGATCAAACCCCCCTATCCCACACCAATAAGATTAACATCAGTGTAAGCTTCCAAGCACATTAGGCTGGTTATGAATCAAGCGTTTGAAGAGAAATTTTGCTTCCTAGGTTGAATGATAATGACAAGGTAGGACACTTTAAAACTGCAATTGTTTCCCTGCTTGTTAATGTTTTTAGACAGTATTTTTAATATAGAGAGACATCCCAAGTTACTGTACTTTGGTTTGTGTCTCAGGAGTGGTTTTAGAGAGCACAAATTAGATAGCTTTTGGAGGGAACTAAATCAAACAGCTGCAACTGGTGCTCAGTCACAAAGCCAGCCTAGAGTTAATCTGGCAAAACCCCTCTGAAACCCAAAGGGTGTATGACAGATCCTAAGCACCAAATGATTTGCTTTACAGATTGGCTCCAGTTAGCTTATCCATATGTTAGCTGTTAGTGTGTCTCAGGAGTACTCGTTTGACATGTAACAACACAACAGTGTGGCCTCTGAGGCAGTGAGAAAAGGCAATAATAAAAGTGGAAACGGCATTTAAATGATATTATTGTTTTAGCAAGTGAAAAACTAAACAATCAAAAACCAGCATCATATGTCTGAGCTGTCTTTTTTTCCCTGTTTTCCAGTGAAATGTACAATATAAGTGGGTTTTTTAAAATCTGTGAAACTTGAAAATCAGGAAACTCTAACTATACTCGATACAAAGATAGTATACTTTGCTATCCCAGTGTGTTTTCTGGGCTTTGATTCTACTAAACTAAAATCAAACACTCATTTGGTTAATGTTAAATGTGTTGATTTGTAGAAACCTCAAGCTCTTTTGAAAACAAAAATTGAGAAACTTAGTTAAGGGACTTCCGTGGCAAACACAGATTCTTATCCCTTCATTAAGAAATTTGCATTTAAGGGGATATTTGATAAAACCAATAGCATGGCTTTTTTTTTAACTTGATGGGGGAGATAAACAGTAAGTGTTCAACTGATTTGAACATGATTAAGTTAAGGTTACTCCTGATTTATCTCATATCAGTTTGAAGTTAAACACAGGATGAAGTGTACAGTAGTTCACCTTTACACCTAACTTTCACTGGGTTTGTGGAGATTCTTTTATAATCACTGATAGTTTAACATTGTTTCCAGGATAATTTTCAGTAAAAAATAAAAGTTAAGCAAATCTTGATTTCATATTGTGTCGTTGTAAACACACCTTAGTTGCTGAACTTTCTACCTTGTAAAGCCATATTGCATCAACTATGACAAATGAGTGTTCTCTATACCTGTACAATTATCTCTGTGCTAGAAGGGGGGTAGTGTAAGGCAGTGCTTGGTGTGTATAGCTTTTATACTAATATGATGCAAAAACTGGTAAATCCCAGTACTATTCCAATATTAGCTTTTTGGACTAATCTTGTTCCTTCCCATTTCTGGGTAATGACCTTGTGTGCTTCCACTCAGGACAACGTGGGAAATCGAAAGTGGATATACTAACCAAATTTGATGATGTTCCTTTCTATCCCATGTATAATATCAAAGCTAGGTTGCAGTGTGGGGACTGAACATGTATGTGTTGTTCAGTGACTCCCCCAAAAAAGAGATGTTTATTTTGTGGTCTTCCCACATCCCAGCTAAGTGGCAGAGGAATAAATTCTATACTCTGCAGCATACAGCACAGCCTGAAATTTCCTAAGTCCAATTCCCAAGTCCAATAAACCCATCTTGGCTGATGGAAAGAGATACATTGCATTTCTGCCTTAAACCTCTTCTGTCCTCTTGTCCAAAAGGTGATATAGTACCATAATGGTGGTGTCTCAGTGCTCCCCCCTGCATCTGTATTTGCATAAGAGTCAATAAGAGACTGGGACTGATAATGTATACTGTAATCATGATTGGGAAGCATTTTGCAACAAGGTGTAGTTAGGTTTTAAAATAGCTTTTATGGGTCAGATGTGAACATGCATTTTACTGTACTATTTCAGTGCTTTTGCTCTCTGCAACCAACACACTGTGCACAGTGTAAATGATTACTTTAGAGGGAGGAATAACATCCTTAATGACAGACAAAAAGAGAGCTGTGAAGGGAAGTCTGAGTAGCCTGAGGGTTTTTATATTGGTGTAAAACATCCATGCTGGTTTGTACTAACATTCATAAACAACTGCATTCAAACATAGGTAATGCCGTGCTTTGAAATCATGTAAAAGTCTAAGCCTTGAATGAAGCATCTTTGAATAATTGCCAAACCATAACAATTTTGGGGTATCTTAGCATGTCTTTCTTATTGCCAAATCAGGATCTTTATTGTGCTAGAAAACTAATTACAGTGTTCAGGTCTGTACAAAACAAAAACATCAAAGTTTATATCATAATATTTTCCTTCTAAAGATAGAATAAAGCAGCTACTCCACCCTAGCTTCAAAAAGAGGAAGTGTCTCCTAAGAGCCTGCTCTTGAATTTATTTATTTTTAAAGAAGTAGAGAATTTAACAATAGGATAAAAGGCCTTCACAGTCTCTTCTTTTTCCTAGTTTATTTGTAAATAATACCCCCCTTGCCAGAGCTCATAGGTGCATTTCAATAAAACTGCAAAACTAAATATTCAGAAGTCACTGAGTGATTTAATGTTAAATGAGGGTAACCCTTTTCCTTACCACCAACATCTCTATTTGAGAACTGCTTCTGAAGTAATAAGCTCTGCAGCTACATCCCCAGTAAAGGAGAGGCTTTACTTATTGGATAATTGGAGGGGATGTGACTGACGAAAGCAGCTAGGGCTGTGCTGTGAATGGAGCAGAACTGTACTGTCTCAAGTGTGAAGTTACACTATCCTTTGCTCTATTCTAGTTTAAATTGTTATCTCCCAATGGGCCTTTGATCATGCGTTTCCAGTTTCAGAACCACTGAGGTAGATTGCATAAGTTCTGCAGTACTATGATATGACAAATGCCATATCACTGTGTATGTAGTTACAATACTCATATTTTACTGCTTTTGATTTTTTTCTAGGGCGCCAATGCCTCAGCTTTGGAGAAAGAGATTGGTCCGGAACAATTTCCAGTCAATGAGCACTATTTTGGTTTGGTTAATGTAAGTTTCAGACCATAACTTCGTTGCTTCAAAATGCTAGGAGTGGGTTTGTTAAATTTCGAGATTGCGACTGAGTGAATAAGTGAAACACTGAAAGATACAGTCATTGAATCATACTATTGAAATACGTTTTCAGTGTTCAGTGTATTTGTTGAAATATGCTGCTGAAGTAATTGTTGAAATGAACTCGATATTGAATATTTTATTCCATTTTACAAATTTTAGGATATTGAAACAGCCAAGTCTATTGTAGGCTGTTAAAATGTATAAGTCTTAGAAAAAGCTACTTAAAATATGTAGCTTGTAGTTCATAATATGCCAATCTAAGTGAAATAAAAACATTACAAGAAAAAAAATTGTGAAAGACTATTGATAATCTGAAATGTTTATATCTGCTATTTGTATTAAGGTTAAAAAGAAAATACTGAGCCCAAAAAAGCAATGGTAGAAAAAACGTAATAAATTCTTTGATTCAACAGTTAGTTTTAAGGAATAATTTAAATTTTAATTTCTAGTATTACTAATGAAAAGTATATCTTTTTAGAAATTGCATTATACTGACAAGAACTATTAAAATTATTTATTGGGGCTTCAGAAAGTACATATTTAAGCAAAATTGATTTAACAAGTGGCATTGTCCTGCTTTTCTTAATGAAAATAATTATTTAGATGTTGTCCTGCTACTGTAACATATGTCTCTATCTCCAGGCTCGTAGCACTGACATTGTTCAAGAGTCTGCAGTCCAAGTATATGTTGTGAAGTCAGTAAATACTTCCTGATAAGCTGACTTAGATGCCTCTCAGACACCATGACTTATATTAATGATTTCTTTTCCTTTCTCATGACAATTGAAATGCCCTCAGAATGACGTTGTTTCTCTCAAAAAAGGAAATACATCAGTTTAACTGTTAATACTTGATAGTTCTGCAGCAAAGCTTAGGCTTTCCATTTTTCCACAAACAGATTTCTCAAATCTGTTACTCTATTGACAGATAAGCTGTTTTCCTAATTTCTTGTCGTAGTCCTGAGAGGATTTAAGACTTAAAACAGTAAAATGGTGTTGTATACCAAATCTTGAAGTTTTACATAGTTTGTACCCTTAAGAAAAGTTTCAATAGAGGATAATCTTCCTAATATATAATGACCATCAACAAATTCTGGCTCTCTGTACCCAAGAGGGAGTAGGAAATTCAAAAGGATATCTGCCTTTAAGTCATTGCCCTCAACCATACATGTAATGGACAAGCAGCTAAGATACCTCAGAGTGCTTTCAACTTTCTGTGTACTACAGGAATGTTGCTTATTTTAGCTTCAAACAATAAAGTTTTATGGACCAAAATTCTTTGAATTGTAACAAATAGTAAAATGGGATCCCATTACATTTATAGTACACTGATGCTGTTTCTCAGGTACAGTAGTTGGCTAAATAAATTCAGTCATATTGTTCCTTAAATGGTTTTCAGATCTGTTCTATGGGTTGTGTTTACTAGCACAGTATGTATGCACAATATGCACAATTTAATGTGTAATAAGCTTGCAGAATGTAAATCTGTCAGGAAAAGGAAAAATAACAAACTATAGCCAATGGCCATTTAGAAAGAATGACAGAATGAGAATGAATACTAGATAATTACATAATAAATTGAGTACTGTTAGATTGAGAAGTGATTGAAATCACAACTTTTGCCTTCATTGATTTCTCTAATTGTTTTGTAGGAACTGCAAGAAGTGAACCTCTTAGAGGTTCATTAACATTTACTGCTGAATTTTTCTAATTTGTTTATCAATTTTGTTTGTTCTAAGTTTGTCCACAGTAATGGAAAAAAGGGAGATAATGTGAAAGTCAGTAGCTCTCTTCTAACTGTGTGATAGCTAGACATTTGAGATGTCTGGAAGACAGAAAAGGATTTTAGGTAAAGATGACAATTCTGAAATAGAGGGCTGCCAATTTATCCAGAGGTAGCGTAAAAGAAGAGGAAGTAGGAGCACTATCTTATCTCTTTTCCAGCTTGTGGCAGAATCTAGGGATTATTCTGAGGATGTGCTGAAAGAACAACTTGAGGTAAAAGAAGACTTAAGAAAGGGCAAGTATGGGAAACACATGGAAGACCAGATGGTTGATAGGAATGGAAAATTCAGTTTAGACTTGAAAGGACAATACCATCCACTAAATCAGCAGGAATTATTTAAGATATGTGGTAAGATGAAAGTGTTAATAGTGTTATGTCCCATGCATAAGGGACAGTGAGGAACATCAAGTCTGCCTGTCGTTGTTTTCCTCTACAGTGCAGTAATGTAAACTATTCAAACCTATGTGCTTCACAAATTAAATCATTTTATCCAGTGAGCATGAAATAAGATTTTTAATCTCGAAGAGCTACTCTGGTAACTCTTTAGCAGTTTACCAGACTTCTAGAGCAGAAAGGTTGGTTATTCAGTCTCTTGCAATGGATCTGTGTGTTTTGGAGAAATCCTGTTTACTGGAGTGGCCCATTGCAACAGCTAGAAGTTGCCAGAGCTGCCAGTGCATCAGAGCTGTGAGGAACCCTAGAGCTGCAAAAAGACAGTGTTCCAACCAGATCTGAGTTCTTGTAAACTTCTTGTTTGTTTTTGTAGATTTGGGGGTTCAACAACCAAGTTTCTTCCCAGTTGTATGTGCATCAGAAGAGTAAACTATAAGACTGTAAGCATTCGTAGATGTGCAGTGTTTTTGTTGCAAATTTCCCCATTGTGTCATTTCTATTATTTCCACAAAGGTTTGGGTGTTGTAATCTTGATTTCAGAATTTAAAAGAAAAAAAAGTTGTGTGGAAAACAGGGAGAATGCAGTATTTTTGTTAAAGGAAATAATCTGATTTCTCAGAATTCAGAACAGAAGAACAACATGAAGTGATGAAAGGAGAAAAGGTCTTTTTTTTTTTTACTTTCCTTAGATATGCACAACATAAGATGGTCTTCGCAGAAACAAGGAGGCAAACAATAAACTAGTTGAAAACACTGGTTAAAATAACCCTGCTGTACGTGGTCTCTCCTCTCTCCCAAAGGAGATAGAGGAGTTTTTGTATCCCATACAGGCTAACAATTTAAGATACAAAATTATGATGATGGTCTTTCTTACAGTTTTCTGCTGCTATTGTGGGGCAAACTTGAGGCATGAAGTTACACAGTTCAGCACTTGCACTCACCAGTGTTGTGCCACTGAGGCAGTGCTGACGTTGGAGTGGGTAGAAGGAAAGTGTCCCTTGCCAGGTTTGCAGCAGAGCCAAGTATTGAAGACCCAGAATCAGAAAACAGAGTATAGGTGTTTAGCGGGTGGTGGGGAGACTGGATCAAGGTGTTGGGCGTTTTTCTGTAATGGAGTCAAAGATGCGAACTAAAGTAATAGTGGTGGTAAGACCAGCATTTATTAATTTATTAAATTCCCTATTTGCTTAGTCTAGAAACCTCCCTACCTTTTCCCCCTTGTTGTTCAGTATAGGTGTCATTATAACTTTTTAATGATTGGAAGCATTTATTTTAGAAAGATTTGGAAGGTTGAAGCAATAAAGACTGATGCTTTAGAGATAAATGTGAACTAATTAGATTTTCTTCAGGAGTTTTTTTTCAGTCTTCTATTGCCTACTATCTTTCTGAATTTGGTTGAAGAAAACCTTTTATGAACTTAATCTGATTGCTTTAATTTCATACTCACAGGCATGTAGGTTAACATACATTCATATTAAATTAATCTGAATTTTGTTCGTATTCTGAGTTCTTCATATTTCGGACATCTCTCACTGCATGGTTACCATTCTAATTAATTTATCATCAAACTCTTCCTTTTTAAAATTTGAATTTTATGAAATTTCTGATTTGCTTCCTTTTCATCTTTTGACACTTGCTGTAGAAATTTTAGCACTTCTTCAATTTGATTAAATTTTAAGATCTTTCTGAACACTCTCTTTTTATGGCTATTTCTAATTATAAACTCATAAATAGCTTACAATATTAAATATTTTGACATAGGCTACTGTGTGATTTCATCTGCTGCCTTTAAAGAAAAAAGCCCTGGTTTTCCTATTAAGTTTATTGACTTGATTGCAGATTTGGACCACAAGGAAGCTAATATAAGCATTCCCCTAGCTTAAATAAGTAAAATTAATAAATGTTAATTTCTTCACTTTTTAATATGGATATTGTATGACATCTTAATATATTTTTTAAAATACACTTCTTACTTATTCTTTGAGTGTGTCTTGGTTATTTAGAAAGTAGTTCTTCATATTTCATTAATTTAAAATAAAGGAAAGCAATTAAGTTATAAGTTTTGCGATTAAATCACATGGTGTTCTTGTTTGTCATTGTCTTAGTTGAGAGAGAGCAAAAAATAGTTACTTCCCTGTTATTCCTGAGATATAAAAGCTTTTAGTTCTTTTTCCCTATTGAAAGAACCTGCTCTTAAAATATCTCTAAATGCACTTTTTGCTATAAAAGTCTCCCCATCACAATATAGTCTCAGAATTTGCTACTTCTATGTGCTACTATCTTTATATACAATGTAAATATGAACATTATTTTCACATTTTACAGAGTGTGTGTAGTAGGTTTGTGTTTCAATTTGCAGGTTGCACGACTGCAGCAGAAAGGTTGGATTACTTGCTGAGGGCCTTTATAAAGATTTTTTCCACACTTTCAGTGTTAAATAATAGGTTTCACTAGAGAAGGGCAGCATAAAATGAGAATGACTTTATCCACCAACAGCTCACATTGCCTTCACAGACGTGATGGGGAGGTTTACAGTATTGGGGTGAGCTGGAGACAATGTCAGTGAGCACAAGACTCCAATGCTTAAGAACTCCAAGGAGTCTGGAGAAGAGGAACACCTGGAGTGTCCCATCTGGAGTGTCCTGGTACAGAGGGGGTTCTGGGTGCTTTTCTTGCTGACTCCTCTTGCTCCCTTTCAATTCAGTGGCTTGCCTCCTTCAAAAAGTACACATCCAAATCGGATATTCTTTTCTTTGCAGCCTTGATTTGAAACTACCAACTATCATAGGTTTAAATCCTAAACAAGCCATGTCACATTGGTTTAAGAAAACTCTCGAATACCAATCCTGTCACTCTAAAATGAGAACTGAAAATGTAGGAACAGGTTAAAGCAGTTATTTCTGACTTTGATGACAGCTATTAAGATTGAAGAATCCAATTTCTGAAGTTTATGAGAAGCTCTCCATTTACAGCTGAATTTCTTCACAGTACAGGGTCATGCTGTGCCTGTTCTTTCCTGTTGTGGCAGATGTGTCATAGACAGATATTTTTACCTGAGCATATTTTGGGAGTTGTGAAACTGGGGGTATTTGTTGAACATTTTGATCCAAGTAGATGCAAAATATTACCAATATTAGTCTTGTTCAAGTTTATCTAGGTTTTTCTTGTATTTACATACAGTCTACTAGGTAATCCTTTGTGAAACGGTATTATGCTTTACTACCTTAGTCAGGAAGAAATGACTTGCAGAAAGTTGGCCCCTGCTTATGCACCCTATTATACTTTGGATTTGATTTTATCTTTCTACAGTAATACAATGCAAACTAATAGATCTCTCTCTTATTTTATAGTTTGGGAATACATGCTACTGCAATTCAGTTCTTCAGGCACTTTATTTTTGTCGACCATTTCGAGACAAAGTCTTAGCATACAAGAGTCAACCAAGAAAAAAAGAGAATCTCCTTACATGCTTAGCTGATCTTTTCCACAGTATAGCAACCCAGAAGAAAAAAGTTGGAGTAATACCTCCCAAGAAATTTATAACAAGATTGCGAAAAGAAAATGGTAACTTTTATCTTTTTCTTGTGTAATAATCATAGCAATTATGATTTAATTCTGAAGCTGACATAGTGAAATACCTACATATTTGTTCCACAGAGAAAGTGTTCTTGGTGCTGCAGTATAAACAAGAAGTGACCCTAGAGTAAAAGTGTAACCCTGGAGCCATTTTGAGAGAGAAACCTTGTCTTTCTCTGTTCATGTAGAACTAAAGTGTATTGTCGCTGTCCACTTATGAAATTGCTTGCTAGTTTTGCTTCTCTGTGAATTTTAGATTTATAATCAAAATTCACTGTAAAACCCTTGTTCTTTGTTAAAAAAAATAATTTTGAATGCAGGAATCAGTCTCACAAACTGAGTGTGTGGAAAGGATGTTAAGACTTCCCTGCAAGAATCTGGCTTAAAACCCCCCACATTTTAAAATTAATTTAGAATTTTTGCAATACATAGCTTGAACTGCTCTTTAAAGGATTAATGAATTTTAAAATCACTAAGTAATTTTTGCAAAATATTTTTGAAATGTAATTGATATCCTAAATTTCAAGAGATTTCCAGAGATTTTTAACGTTTCTTGTTTCCTGTCTGCAAGGCTAATTGGTCAAAATGTTTTAGAAAATAATTTGATGTTAAAATATAAACAAAACCTTATAATCTACTATTCAATTTGGATACACTTTTTTAAAAATACAACTTTTTTTTTCCAAAAAATAACCAGTAGATTTAAATAAACTGCAGGAGGTACCATATTTAACGCTGCTGCAATAGACATGTTCATACTATTGTAATGTTTCTGAGACTATATATGCTGACGGAAAAAGTGTTTAACTGGTATGATGACTATATGTGTAGTATAAACAAGAAATAAAATACTATAATGACATTCCTAATTTGAGGTGGCCCTTCCAACAAATGCATACCATAAGTTGTAATAATATTGTTAAAAAAAAGCTCTCTCAGTCACTTACCTATCTATGAAGAGTAGAAAACTGTCATTCCATTCTTTGGCAAGTATATTTGAGTAAGTATGCTTGTATGTTGATGCATTTACAGAAACAGTTCATTGTAACAAATGCAGAGAATAATTCAAATGGAAAGCAGAAAGTAAACCATGGGAGCCATTAAGTTCATGATAAGAATTATTCTTTGTAATGTGTAATTACCTCATACCACTAAAGTTCTGTATAGGACAAGGCAATTGGAAAATCTTTATTAGAGAAATCAGGTGTGAAAGTTCAACTGTTGTTGTCTTTTTGGGTCTCTCTTAATGATGATACTCTCACCTTTTGTACAAATAAATAGCTAAATTCAGGCTGCAATTACATGGGCATCATATATGCTATTGAGTGCTTATTGTAAAGGTATATAATTTTGAGAAGAGTTAGTTAAAGAACCAGGTAGGTATGCAACACCAATCTAGAGTCTGTTTCAGTCAGTATCCAGCTATACCAGGGTGATAACTGAGGACAGTCTTAATGTGTTCCAGACTACAAAGCTGATCTTCCATCTTTATTTTTGATGTCTGAATACAATATACATATATTACACATCTCTAAGCTGGAGAGAGACTTTTTACGAGGGTATTTAGTGATAAGGCAAGGGGGAAGGGCTTTGAACTGGAAGAGGGTAGGTTTAGATTAGATTTTAGGAAAAAAGTCTTCACTGTGAGAGTGGTGAGGCACTGGAATAGGTTGCCTAGAGAACTTGTGGACACCCCATCCTTGGAAGTGTTCAAGGCCAGGTTAAATGGGGCTTTGAGTAACCTGGTCTAGGGGAAGGTGTCCCTGGGGGGAAAGAAGTAGTTGATCTTTAAGGTCCCTTCTAACCCAAGCCATTCTATGATTCTTTATTAATGACTGTAAAGTTTAACTGGCTGGGAAGCAGCTGCTGGCTTGAAGGTATACTGTTACGTTTGCATAAATTTCTTTTAATCATTAAATGAACAATGTGTAGCTTTCATCCTGTTGTACTTCATGCTAATTTACTGACTGGGCACATAGCCCTGAGAGGCCTGTGATATAACACTGTGAAGAACCTCTGAAGTGTTTTACCTCAAGAGACTTGTAGCTCTTGTTCTGCCTTGATTTACTCAATTAAATAAAGACCTTACAGTTGGCTGGATTGAACTTAGTGAAACTAACTGTATTGAAAATAGTGTAGTAGTTCACTAAGTAAGCTACATGGTTCATACTCTTGGCTGACCTATTGTGCTACTTAACCTCTCCAGATGATCTAGATTAGCATCAAGTTTTCCCTACTCCAAAAATAATTCAGGATTTTTTTTTCTATTTGAAGTTTACTCCTGGATGTCATCAAGTGAATGACAGTAGAACTTCCATGGAGTGCCTGTATGCATTTCAAAACTTAACCTTCACTGAGTATCTTTTTCGTTTATCTTTCCAGTCCTGAAGGCTTGTCTCTTAGTACATTCTTAAACTGCAAGTTGAAGTAATTGCACATTTAACAGACTTGCATGATATTAGCCAGTGATATAGAATGCTTTTTAAATTGGCAGGTAAATTTCTTGTAACAATTCCTGGTCAGAGAGAATTGTAAATTAATTATTACTCCAGCTGATACAATACCTTTATGGTTTTCTTAGTCTCATTCCTCATGTGAGAACTTCTACCAGCAGAGGATTTCTCAGGTTGGTATCCCAGGGGACTGCAATTAACTATGTTTTCAGTTTGAACATGATCAAGAGAGTAGATTTGTAAGAAAGATCAGATTTATGTTTTAATCTGTGTCATTGCTATACATTGCAAGTATGTGGCAGTGAAACTATCCCTTTCCACTGAATTAATTTGAAAAATATTGTGCTTAGAAATGTTGACAAACTGAGGACATGCAGAGGGCCTCATCCCTCTTATATGGACAATGAAGCATCATACAGATAATGAAACACTTCTTATTGGAAGTTCTCAGGTAATTTCTGGGAAATATCAACATCTAATGCTATTTGAGATGCCTGGTGTTATCCAAGACATTGACCTAAGCTTGGCAGAGATAGCATAGTGCCTGTAGGAGATCCAGTGGCATCTGGAGGCTGGATGGGATGAACTGTAACATTTCAGGTGGCACTACATGTACACCTGTGTTTAAGTAGTTGAATTGTGCCCTAGTTTTCTTGCAGAATGATTCAGTCTTCTGTTAATTCTCATCAGCTGAGTTATTTCTGTCTGACTTGCTGTTCCTTTTCCGCACCCCCTATATTTTTGACTTAGTTTGTCAAGTATGCATTTTGGGTTGGTGTTGTATTGTCATGAATGATTCAAGATATGAAATAAAGCAATGGTTTTGAAATTTGACTCTAATAAAATCCTTTTTTGTAGTATAGCACTGACTGATTAATTAAAAAAATCTTTTGTTTTATCTTGTAGAGCTTTTTGATAACTACATGCAGCAGGATGCACATGAGTTCTTAAACTATCTATTAAATACAATTGCGGATATCCTGCAAGAGGAAAGAAAACAAGAGAAACAAAATGGTCGCCTGCCCAATGGCAACATCGACAATGAAAATAACAGCCCACCAGATCCAACCTGGGTTCATGAAATCTTTCAGGGAACATTAACTAATGAAACCAGATGTCTTACATGTGAAACTGTAAGTCTGTATATACCTTATAAAATTAATTCTGACATATTTCACTACTTCATGTTTCATGATTCATTTATCCCAACGGACTAACAGAGTAGATTAGGTTTTTTTTCCTTAGTAATCTTACATTTGTATAAATATTTTTGTTTTTTTCTTTGTTAGAACATTTCAGCAGCTGATGCATGAATTGTAGGAAAAGACACTTGGGCAGTATTAGGGAAATGCCCAATTGGATTTTTGTCAGTGTGATCATAACTTCAAAACTTAGATAAGAATATTCTAAATTGATGCATTATTTAGAGCAATGAAGCCTGCTATTTGAAGGTGTGAAATTTGTCTCAAATTTAATGTCTTAACATCATGCTTAGTGATATATTCCATAAATAAGTATTCTGAATCAGTTTCCATTGATTTCTAATTTTTAAATTTAAAGCCATTGAAATCAAGGTACTATGGTTGGCTTTTGGCACTGAGACAGTAAATCAAGATTCTCAAAAAACACAATTTAATGTGCAAGAAAAGTAATTCTTTCCTAAATGTCTGTCCATAGGAATTCTTCTAATACTACACCCTGAGAAATAAGTATGCTCTTTGAGTATGCTATACTAAAATTTTCTTTGAGAAGTTCTACAATAAGAGAAAGAACATATTTCATAAAAACTTATAATTGAATTTTACCATTGGGAAAAAGTAGAAGCAGCACAATTTGAAAATTACAGTAATTCTGTCATGGTCTACACCTTAGAGATTGTAAAAAGCTAAACAACTGTGGTTTCTGTATGACTCTTCATACCTGTTTTCTTTAACTAAATTAGTAATGCACATATTTTGGCATGACATTGGAAAGGAGGAATTCATTGAATCTGTATATTTCACATGTAGTCTTTTCTGTCTTCTAGAAATACCTCCCTCTTATTTCAAAGAAAATAGGTTCATAATGTTATATGTAATGTAACCGCAGACTTGGAGTAATTTAGGTACTGATTTCTGGCTACCGTATTTTCTTTATGGTAGATTTTCCCTCCTTAATACGTTTTTCTTGGCAACTGTCAATTGCTTCTCTTTTAGTTCTTGAACTGTTTTTTTTAAATTCTTCTTGAAACATGAGTTTAGTTCAGTCTTTTCACATGACTGTCATCACTACCTTTCCTCACTGTGGCATAATGAATTACTGCTGTCAGAATTTTGATCTAGGCACAGTCCTTAATGCAATTTTAAAATGGTCTTTGCCAGTATATTTTATTTGTTATCAGGCCTGTCACAGTTTTGAGAATTTTACTAACATTGCTCAGTTCTGTGTTTCTATTAGGTATTGCTGAACAAGATGCACCATATAGGTTTGCCACTGTGCCTCCTTGGTCAGTTGAACTTAAAATTCAGTGTTTTAATATACATTGGGTCTTAGATTATTAGGGCCTTTCCAAGCCCTAATAATCTGGAAGCTATTTTATCAGCTTCTGTCTATTTAGTATATCAGCTTGTGTCTAATTAAAACATAGCTACCTGAACATGAGCACTTATTACATAAGTAATATTACTGTGATTGATGTCTTATTGTCAAATATAGTGAATATATATGGGTTTCTTAATGTTTATTAAGAGCTGTTGGCACTTAGATTCTTTCTGTGTTTAGAAATAAAACTTGAAATGTCAGGAGTACTTGGATATAGCTCTTGTAAGAGATTACATAGCAAAGGTGGATGAATTAGTGCTTATTTATGATAAGACAATAACCTTAGCATATTTTAAATTTAAATTTGGAATTCAGTGCATACTTAAATATGTAAAGCATAATATATCTTTGCTCAAAGTGACAATGATTATATTCCAACTGGCCAAACCTACTCAATGTTCCTTAAATGAACATGGCAAAATTTTATTCTAATTTTAATTGTACTGATTACAGAAAAGAGCATCTTTCCAGGAGGCATTGTTTCATTAGCCTATCTTAAAGATAAAAAATAACTGGCTAAAGATTTATCTTCTATTTAAGTATGGACAGTGGAATATAAGGAACATAGATGCAATTCTTTAACAAAGTTTTGTCTTGTGGGACAAGGCATGCTATTAAATGAATATGTTACAAAAGGGATTGTAAGTTGTCTTTACATGCTTTTAATGTGATTTCTTGTTATAATGCTTTCACCCTTCCTTGATAGAGGCAGTATGTTAAAGTGAATGGAAATTTTGTGGCTAATTGCTAAAAATTATTTAGAAGTTCATTGGTTTTACAGATTTCTCTCACAGTTTAAGGAAGAATAACAGTAAGCCAGAAAATAATGTAATTGACTTCATTAAGATTAAATTTGAACCAGCTAAATGTGGCTGGTACTTCTACAGACAAAAATAGGAAATCGTCTTGGATCAAAAGCACCATACATATCAGTGATGTTTTTCTCCAGGTGATGGTCTTGCTCTTATGTCCAAACAACTCTTCAATGCATAAAAATCTTTGGCTCAATTCCATTTGGGACTAAGAGGAGGCAATAAGGAAAATCTCAGTCCTCTTTCTTACTATAGAAACCTTAACTATGCCCCTATTTTCTTTTGCTCTCTTTTTTCTTAAAACTAAGATAAATAATGTCCTTTGTTTCAGCTTCTTTTAAAACTACTTCGTGTCTTAGCACACATGGGAGTCTACAGCTGCAAAAGCTCTATTGTGAGTGAGCCGATTCACACTGCTAGTAAAATTCCAAACTGTAAGAAATAGCAGATTCTATGAGTGTCAGCCTTCTGAGCTTTCTGTTTCGTACAGCTTTGGCCATCAGAGTACAGCTGAGCTGTGTGAGTGCAGATCATGTTCTTGATGTGAGAACAGTTACCATCCCCTTTAGCCACAACCCTGGAACATCTGAATTCTTCACTGTTACTCAAATGCTCCTGTTAGGACTACTCAGATGACTTTTTGAACACATCAGGCTTGATTCTGCGAGTGATGAGGTTTTCTGATCATGGCCATCTTTTTTAATGCTATAGATGACTGAGCGTTGGTGATTGTAGTCTGAGATGTTGATTGAGTCTTAGTGATGTTGATTTGAAAGAGCACCTTTACAGAAGGAGTGAATGGGGGGCTGGTAAGAGTGGAAAGTGGCTTTTTTATATTTTTTTCTCTTTTTTTTTAAAATTAAAACTTTTTGATTTAATATTAAAAAAAATCTGTTCAAATACTAATGTTCAAAGAAACTTAAAAATTAAGAAAAGCAAATTATAATTTATCAACATAAATGGAAAAAAGTCCACTTGGCTATTCTTAGAATAAAGCCTTTAATGGTTCTTCATGATCCTAAGTGCACAGTGGACTGGCTAACCTAAGAGAGGTTTTTTAAGGCCCTGTTTTCACAGAGAATGGAAATACTCCTTTTGCAAACTTCTGTTTTCAGTGCCAATCTCTTTTTAACCAGGTCCAACACATCCCTTTCTTCTTGTCCGTATTCTCTCTGCCCCTACAGCTTCTGCATGGGATAAAACTGCCTGTGAAATCTGTATTGTTTCATGGAATTTTCTTTGATTAGACGAAGAGAGGAAGAATTATCTAATTGCATGTCTGAATAACACTGATCACATGACTCCTTAATTCCAGCTGTCCTAGCTGAAGACTGCAGCAGCAAGAGTATTTTCTATAACTGATTTTTTTTTTCTGAGCTGTTCTTAATCCCTAGGCTAAGATGATTCCCACCAGAGTTCTTAGTGTTACAAATTCAGGTTTGATAATTCCAAAAGTGGTTTGTTGTGGCATATTTTGAAGACTTGTCCACACAACTAAACCATAGTACATCCCTGAAGACAGGAAACATGCAGCACACTGAAGATGCAGGTGGCTTTTTTTTTTCCACTCTAAATATATTGGAAGTTTTCCATATATGTTTTGTGATCTCTCCAAAAGTGTGAATGATGCAGTAGATATGATGTGTACTGGCATACTGGCATTTTTTTACATGCACACTTATTCTTGAAAAAACAAGGTACAGAACAGTGGGAGGAATCCTTGGCCAGTCCTCTCATAGATATTAACAGAAGCTTTCAACCTAATTTCTTAAGTTTTTGGATTTGCCCTATGGTATCAGTTCTCAAAAATGGTTGTCTTGACCATCTGCTTTTATCCTTTTTTTTTTTTCATGTATGTCACCTAAGGAGCTGTGTGTCTCATCTCTTGATAATCAGAGAACAACTTTCCAATTTTTTTTTTATTCTGAATTGAAAAGGGAACATAAGACTTGTATGTTTTAAAGATCAACTTACATTAGTTCTCCTGTAGCTGTTTCACTTTTCCTGCTTTCAATCAAGAAATTGCAGTCCGGCATCTTTTCTAAAAGCATTTATTTTTGTACCTGGGCAGAAGACATTTCATCAGTGACATTGAGTATCTCTAGACACAGAGAGGACATGCTAGCAGACAAAAGTTAAGGTTGCAGATCATTATTTCCTGAAACTTTAATAACATAGTTGGTTTTCAGGGCAGCTGTGGATTTTGTTCATCATTTGTCAGGATTTGTGGTGGAATTTATTTTCTTCTTCTAGAATTTTCTGGTTTGCTTAATTGTTATTCTTGCGTTTTTTAGAGAACTGACTATGCATTATTCTGCCTCTCTCAGATCAAGCCCCAAGCTCTCATTCACCAAATTTACTATCTGCTGTTCATTTCAGAGTATGAATCTAGCCAGGAGGAGGCTTCAAAATATTTGTACTCTTTATTAGGTATACTATGATATGCAAATACGTAACTTTCAGTTTGAGGGAAGTGCTCTAAATAGAAGAATCCCAGGGATTCTGTTCTTTTGAAAAGAGTGAGGTGTAGAAGAAACTTGATATTAATATTGTTGAGCTGAAATCACAGTATGGTATACACCCACAGACACATATACACTTCCCTCTTTGTGAACAAAATCAGAAGCAGAGATCTAGCAAATCTCTGAAATAGAAAAGCCGCTTGCAAAAATTTTTAAAAGGATGTTGTAAGGTAGAAGATTCATTCCATCAATAGAAAATGGTACACTGAAAAACAGGTAAATCAGTATAACTTGTTTTAACTGTGTTCTGCTGGTTCTTCTTTTCATTCAGGTAAGCAGCAAAGATGAAGACTTCTTAGACCTTTCAGTTGACGTGGAGCAGAATACTTCAATCACTCACTGTTTAAGGTAGACAAAAATCTGAATTTTTGTAATTTGTATTTACCTGTTACCCAGAAAGCAGGACATAAAACTAGAAGCTCACAGTTCTATCTTACATAGATTTAAGTGTATAAAGTTATGTTTATATTGTACATTTATTTGAATAACTAATATAAGAAACTAGTATTTATAGCTTTTTTTTTTCAGGGGTTTCAGCAATACAGAAACTCTGTGCAGTGAATACAAGTATTACTGTGAAGAATGTCGCAGTAAGCAAGAAGCGCATAAAAGGTACATCGCACTTAGGGAAGGAAAAAAATAACCCATGCATTTCATGAAAATACTCTTGTATTTCCTTTTGTATGTGTATGTCTTAGGAAGAGAACATCCTTTTTCCCTTAATTTTCCTCACTCTTCTTCCACTTAAGAATAACTTGGTTGCATTCCTCTTGCTAGAATTCAATGTATCTATTTCCATGAGTAATGAGAATCCATGTAAAGTATTTTGGGACTCCTTTGATCATTATTTATTTTACAAATGAGAGAAAGAATGGTCTTAAGACCAAAAATGAGTTAAAAAGCCAAGTTCAACTGTCAGTGACTAAAAAAAAGACTACTGGCAATGATGAAAAGTCATAGATTGTATGTGACCTTTTTAAACCTGGTTTTGTCTTGAAAATAAAATATTTTTTTCCAGTTGCTGAAAGAATAATTTTGATAGTGCTTTTTGTAACTATTTTTGTTAACTGAGTTTCTGGTTTCTTAAAAGTGTTTTAGTTAGTTGTGCCAAACTTCTGCTTGACAGTGCTCCTGAAAGTCATCAGAAGCTCCATTGAAGCCTGAAATTCATTATGTCTAAAAACAATTCTTGTTTGCCTAATAATTCTTCTGGTCCTGTTCACACATTTGAAAAACCTCTCATTTTGTGCACTGTGTGGTATTTATTATCTGAGAAGTATTTGGTTGAAGGAGTGGGAACACTGACATACTCTGCTGGTTATGCCCCTGATACTGGTTATTTGGTTTACCATAGATTCAACACACAGCTTTTGTGTATCTCATCTGCTAAGTCTGCCTTAACGTGCTGCCTAAGCTTACAAATTGGTGTCTATTAGCTTGGGAATCCAGGTCTGACCTGTTGTTTTCTGTTGCTTTAGCTCTTTTTCTGTGTGGTGGATAATGTGATCCCTGACCAATATAAGTTGGGTAGACATAAACCTGTACTGTAGGCACTTCCTTAGCAAAACACAGCTTTGATTGTTTATATTTTGGTTTTCATGTGAAACTTAAGTTCAGTTTCACTACAGTCATATTTTTCTTCTATCTCTATAACACAGTTTATCTGTGTTGGTGTCTACTCAACTAGCAAAGATGGTGTACCAAATTTCTTCACCATTGAAAGAGCTGCTATTATCAAACACAGTTGCATTATAAGGAGAGGATTTAGTATTGAAAAAAAGGACTAGAGCAGAAATTATAGCCATAATATAATAAAAATGTAAATCTTCCTAAAAATAGTTGCTTCTGTCATCTTTCTGCCCCTCTCCAGTCGTTTTTATTTCCTAGTTCTTTTGTGGGCATGGAGAAAATTTGAGTGTAGCAGGGTTTCCTACAGGTTGTTGTCAGTCTAAGTTTAATGAGAAAAAGGGAAGAAAGGTGAGTTTTCAAGGATTTGTTCACAATCCACTGTCTTTTGAAAAAGGATTGTATTGTACAAACATACTTCCTGACTATCTGAAAATGAGGTCTTAGTAGACATGTCTCAAACTGGGGCTGTATTGTTGAGACTTTTGAGCTACGTGTCGGGGCGGAAAGCACTTTGAAAAATTCATCACTGTGCTGATCTAAGGCAGTTGGCTGTGCCAAGAAGCAGAGCACTCAGCTTGGAGGTTCTGTTAGTATGGGCAAATTTATTACCCAAAGGGTGGCAGTCTGTTGCCAGGCCAGCTATGGTGGGCTGAGGAGGATTTGTAAGCACTGATGTGAGATCTCAGTACCTCAAACTAGGGAAAGGGGCCAGTGAGCCCTCAGTAAAACTAGATTATCACTTTCTGGCTTTGACTGCTGTAAAACATTGCTGCAACATTTGTACAAAATTGTTGTGCTAGAGCACAGCCTTATCTTGTTTGGGTAGTAGGAGGTAGTTGTATAACACTGGGCTATTTGTATCCCTTGGCAATTTAAAATGAATGGCTTGATAGGAAGATTTGGAGTAATACTTATGTGACAAAGCGGTGTAACAAAGCTTATTTTAAAAAGCTTGTTTGACTTGGCTGGTTTACTGAGAAATTCAGCTGGAACAGGATCTCTGAAACAACTCTGTTGCAATACCTCCACTGTATAGCAAGTGGGATCTAGGTTTGGCTTTTGGGAGCTCAGGAAAGCTATAGGTAGATGCATTTAAAAATTGAATTCTGTGCTATGTGATCTAAATTATTATGTGAATGCATCGCAGCTGTTCTTATATATTGTAGTTCATTGTTTTAAATATATTTTCAGTTCTCTCATTTGTTAAAAATCCCCCTTTAGTTTAGCAACACAGGACTTATTTTTAAACAGCTGATTATTTGAGTTTCTTTTAATGCTTGCAGAATTTTTAAAGACTTCAGTAAAATAGGTTTCCTGTTTGTTGATACTGACTGAATGCTTTGGATGAATATTAAAAATACAGTTGGTTTTTTTGTTTGGTTCTTTTTTTTCAGGATGAAAGTAAAAAAGCTGCCTATGATTCTAGCTCTCCATTTGAAGAGATTTAAATACATGGATCAGCTCCATCGATATACAAAACTCTCTTATAGAGTAGTTTTTCCTTTAGAGCTTCGTTTATTTAACACCTCAGGAGATGCCACCAATCCTGACAGAATGTATGACCTTGTTGCTGTGGTAGTTCATTGTGGAAGGTAATAACTGTTTTAAGCAAGGGATTTTTGTATAAGCCTAACTATGTTTAAAGAAACAACACCAAGCACCCAGTATCCTATAAATCAATAGCATTTAAAGAACTCTTAAAAGAAAAGTTTTTTAGGAAAAAAAGTGTTGTGGGGAGAAGCTACCAGTCCTGACAGAACATATATCTTTTTTGCTGTGACAGTTCATTTTGAAAAGTGATAACTGTATTTCACATCACAGATCTTTGTATGAACTTAATTATGTTTAAAAAAACAGTTTCTAAAAGAAAAAGTTCCTTAGGAAGGAAAGCATTGTAGAAAGATTATTTTATCAAGCATTTCCTTTAGGGTGGGTATTTTTCTTAAGGCTAAAGCAACATTTTCTGAAATATATCCATATATTATGAGTTTTGTTGATTAATTTGTTTCATTGCTTTCAAAATATGACTGTTAGGTTTGTATTTGATTTTGTTATATTCAACAAATATTCTTGTGCCTTCAAGGCTTAAAATCAGGCTGCTCTACAAGGTGCTTATTGAGTAGATAAAAGCCCCGAAGTTGAAAATTACGATTTGACATGTAGAATCACAGAATAATTTATATTGTGAGGTCAACCACTTAAAGCTCAAAGCAGGGCTAACTGACATTAGGTTAGGTTGTACGGGGCTCAGTTTCATGACTAGGAATGCTGATTTCACTACATCTTTGGGTGATTTGCTCCAGTTCATCAGTTTTCTCACAGTGAGCAGAGAGTAAAGATAATTAGACCTCGAATCAGCCAATTGTGGACAGTTTTGGAAAATAAGCCTTTGTGCCCTGGTTTCCTGGGACACTCTTGTTCTGGATTTTAAGGAAAATTCTTTCTGACTGTTCTGACCATTATCTGTCTCCCTCACTCAAGCTGCAGTCTTGGGAACTTCTCCATTCTCAGAGCCATGGCAGGAGATGAACCCTGGTTTTGTTTGTGTTAGTGATTTGGTACACAGGCATGTCCCTCAGAGATGGCAACCTTCCCTCTCTGATCTGGACATAAAAACTGTATGAGCACTGTTAGCCAGTTGAAAACTGTATGAGCGCTGTTAGCCAGTTGGGGCAGTTCCAGAACTGCTTTAACTAGTTGTCCACTATCAGTTGTAAGGTTCAGCTGTTTCAGAAAGTGTATTATTTCCTTACTTGAAACCTGATGAGAAATAAGACACTAAAGTTTTGGTGGATTTTTTTTCTATCATAGCTGTGGAGAAATTCCTTGTCTGCCATAACTGAAGAGCTGAGCATTATAATAGTTTTAATTGGGAGCCCTTCTCATTGCTGTGCTTCTTGAGACTTCTAAACTGCCACTTTAATTCAGTTTTTGCTTACAGTGGACCAGATAAAGAGATTCATGTAGATGAGCAGCAGTTCTATGGCTTTTTCTTTCTGAAGATCAGAAATAGTTTGGGATCTGTTCTCTATGAAATACTGGAATGTTTTCTTGATTTCACTTGTGTCTCTTTTTTAAAATTTCATTTGTATTTTCAATGCCTGTGCTGCTTATTCCTCATTTGAAACTATAATATTTTTTTTAGCACAGTATTAAATATAGAGGTAAGTAAGACCTTATGAAGATAATGTAAGTGGACAGTAAAAAAAAAAGGGGGGGGAGAAAATCCAAACAGAATTTGTAGTGGTAGCCATTTTAATTACTGTTAAGTATTGCTTTTCTACAAGAAAAAAATGATTAAATGAAATACATTTCTACATACATATGTGTTATTGTCTGTGTTCTTTTCTAATTTTGTTTTACAGTGGCCCTAACAGAGGACATTATATTGCAATAGTGAAGAGTCATGATTTTTGGTTGCTTTTTGATGATGATATTGTTGAGGTAAGCCCAACCACAGTGCGTGTAACCCCCTCGTGTATATGCTTACTTAAAGTAAAATGACTGGGAATGCTAATGAGAAGAGGTTTCAACCCAATCTAAATGAGCAATAACTGTGAGTGCAAAGCTGTGCCTTACAATTTGACTGTACAATCCTTTGAATTGCATTTAGGGTTTTATACTTAAAAGAAGCTCCTTTGTTTATGACCATGATCTTTCACCTTTGTTTAATAAGCTATTCTGTGGCCAGAAGGCATGTCAAATGAAGATACAGATAAATTAGTTTTACTGCAGTTTTTTCTGAGGACAATTTGTTGTAGCAAGTCCTTTGTTCATACTTTCTAGGAGCTTATGATTTAACGGAATAGATTAGTCTGGTAGTCTGTTTTATCAAGTATCCTGGGTTGTTTAGAATAAAGGTACAACAAATATAAAATAGGCAGATTTTTGAGATTTCACCCTAAAATTTAAAAGTTAATCCCTGAAGCAGGAGCCTTTTGCTTTTGGTGGTATACTTGCTAATATTAGCCATGTTTTTAGGAATTATTCTTAATAGGAAAAAAAAGAAAAAAAACTAATTTGGAATAGCAGAATTCCCTTCACCCATTTTGGCTTTCTGTTTCATCAGTTATCTTCTATTCCTTACTGAGAGTATTGTTCTGTCATCTTCCTTTTTTTTCCCTTATCTGTGCTTGTGCATGAACAGAAGTACGATTGTGCTGTCCAAGTGCTTTTCATGACTTTATTTGAATTAATTAAATCTATAAAATTAATAGTTTCCATTTTCCTTACAATACACAAGAACCGCATAATTAAAAAGAAAAGAAACAGGTATTGGACTTACATTGTTAATTGTCAGGATGAGTCAAAGGTATTGAAAAGTTCTTCTCTTATGCCACATTATGGACAGTTTTTCACACAGGAGAAGACAAACACTGAAATACACAGAGCTGTTGGGAAAGTAAAAGGATTGCCTCTGCGTCCTATCAAGATACACAGTAAATTGAAATGTCTTGATAAGGTCGAAAGTTCACTTTCCTCCAGTGAAGAGAGAGGGCTGTAGCATATTGCATCATTCACAGAGTCACTGCTGAGTTGGACGGGACCCACGAGATTATCAAGTCCAACCCTTAGCCCTGCACAGAAACATCAGGGACAATCTCTCTAGTTCCAAATCAGTAACACCTGGCAGTAATGTGGTTTTTTTTTTCATAACCGATCTGAAGAGAAAGGAAAGAATCCTTTTGTTCTTAAGTCTAAACCATCTCGTTAACATTTAGGCCCATAGTTCATTCCTTCCTGAGAGAGGTTTTATTTCAAGTCATGGGAATGAGATTAAGTAAAATCTAGCTAAGTGAAAGAAAACTTATCTCTTCACCTTTTTATAGTTTGCAGCCCAATTGCCTTTTATTTAAAATGTGGCAAGAGAGAGCTTGCTTTCAGTTTCTTTTATAGCTGAAAATGATAACAGAACCGGACAACACTCTTCACCTTCTCAACAGAAGTTTTCCATTTTTCACTCTAAATCTTGATTATAGGAGACTTTCTAAGCTAACGGTATCACAAGCAAACAGTCTGTGTGAAAAACATAGAAAAAGTTAGCCTTCATTCTCTGCTGCCTTTTTATTTTCCTCTGCACTTGTTTGGATTATGCTGCTTAGAGTTAGAAATGGTAGTTTGTATTTGCATTCTTCATATTGATAAAAAGTCTCAGTGGGATATTGTTGTCTCTAAAATTTCTCTGTGTGAAATTTGTGCAAGCAATGCACGTAAAGATTGCACTTACGGTAGGGTCACTTAATACTTAAAAATTTATATATAAGACATATATAGCTGCTGCCCTCTGTGCAGTTGGTGGCAGAGGGGAAGCCAAAACATAACAAGTTTAAGAATTATTTGGATTTTATTATTTTAGGGTGGAACTTAATTTTATGTATATATTATGCAAGATATTCCTACTTTAAAATTTTTGGGTTTTTTTTACATACAGAAAATTGATGCACAAGCTATTGAAGAATTCTACGGGTTGACATCAGACATCTCAAAGAACTCTGAGTCTGGTTACATCCTCTTCTATCAGTCTCGAGACTGAGGGGGAACGGTAGTGAAAAGAGATTTTTGTGTCTCACATCCTCTCTATCCTGGAATGGAGCAAGCACTGAAGAGACAGAAAGCAGAGATCTCTAGGGGCAATAGCACAGTTTGCACACAACTAAGCAAAGAGTTTGGGTTCTTAAAACTTTCGTATCATTTTCATTTTATTTGCTCAGGTATCATGCTGACTACACATCTCCACTGCATCCCATAAGCAAAAAGAGAGATACCAGCCACTCTTGCAGGAACTTTCATTTGGATAATACTGTCTCTGTGATCCTAGTTCAAAGCCCATTGAAGCCATGGAGAACCTTTCACAGTCTTCATTGGAGTTTGAATCAGGTTCTAACTGCACTACCAGATTGGTGCAGTAGGAGCACAAGAAATCTGTATTTTATACAGAGTTTATGTATAAAAGGTAAAGGATTCTTTATGAAGTTAGTTTCCTGTGCTTAAGTTTGAAAGGGTGAGGATCAGAGGGTTAACATGTAAGCAAGAAGATATATCTGGGCCCAACACAATTGCCTTCTTGATGGTAGTAGTTTAACTGAAGATGTAAACTGGTGTCGGGGAGGCAAGTATGTTTTGCTTCTCTGAAGAAGCTTACATTATTTATAATGTATGATCGGGAACAATCAGTCAAGATTATGGCTTTTAATCTCCGTATGGGGAAGGATTTAGTTTGTAATAGTTTATTTTTATTTATAAATTATTATAACTTAGGATCTTGTGTATTGTCCTTTATTCTAATGAGTATTGGAAATTTATATAGTAATTTGAATTAAAACTAATTATGTTTAAGTATAACTATGTTTAAGAAGAGCCAATATAAATTGTAAAGACAATGCCTACAATATCTGAAAAAAATTAATAACACAGGAGAGAGATTTCCTTCTGGAGGAACTGGTATCTAACTGAGGTACTTTATTTAATAAAATTAGAATATCCTCTTTTCATTAATGGGTGAAAAAAAGTGATCAAGCTATGACATAGAAGACTTTTAAGAATGCATATTGTAAGAAAATGGTGGTGCAGTGGTGGTATACTGGTCTTTATAGTTCTTTGATAATTTGTAAATGGTTCATACACTAAGTAGAGTGATTTGGATCAAAGTAAACAATTTTAAGAATATTATTTCCTCTCCAAAAAATGGATCAACTTCTGTTAAACATTAAATTACGTCTGAGTAATAAGAAGAAATAGGCTTGGAATTTCATGAGCCTGAAGATACCACATTCCTTTAAAAGTAATTATACTTAAGACCTGTAGAGTGAAAATTTCTGAAACTAGGCAGTTTACCTTGCTTTAGGTTTGTGAAACAGCATTAACAATTAAATCTTGACAAAACACCTGATCTGTAAGAAATGTGAACTGTTGTGATTTGACATTCTTCACTTAGGAGTACATTGTCTGACAGTAGCTGAATGTAATTTCTGGAAGGTCATAGGATGTGCATTCCAGATTATGGCAATCAGGTCTTGGATGTCCTTGTCACTCCCTCTTCAGCTTGTGATTTTTACATTACTGTAATTTTCTAACATTATTTTATTGATACTGTTACAACTTTTAAAAAGAATGTCTCCTGTCTGCTGCTATAACTATTTACTTACCTGTATCTTTTAGCTCAGGAAATGACTTCACCTATTCACTCAGTTGAACAAATTTTAACAGGGTCACTAAATAAATTGGGCTATTTAGCAACTGTCATACTGTAACAAATTGCTTTTGTAAGATGCAGAGTTTCTAATGCCTTGGTTTGGCTAGAATTCTTTTATAGAAGATAATGTACCATGATTAATCTACCAGCATTGTAAAGTAAAGCCTAAATATTGTGGGAGATGCAGAAAAATATGATTGAATTTTCTTGAAGGATTCAAATAACGTTAAAACCTTTTTTCAGCTTTCAGTAGAAAAAGGGTTAAGGGGGTAAATCAGTTGGATAACGGTGCACGTTAGAAGGATGAAGTCCTTTGCATACTTAAGGTACAGTATTGCAAAAGAACTGTCATATTACTTTTTGCTAATTTAAAATGTTTTATCTTCTTTTTCCTTTTTTTTTGTTTATTTTAATGTAGTTAGAAACTGAGGCTAGTTGTTAAATATTTTATACTCTAACAAAATTTAAAGCATTTTTGTTGTTTCACTGGTTTTACTCCTGCTATGTATTTTTATAAGATAATGACTTTTATTTTATATAGGGTTTTGAGATAGTATTCCAAATTATGTATTTCATTTTTCTTTTAGTGCAGCCGAAATAATTGTAAGTTCTTAATTTAACTGGTATCAGAAACTGCAAGTTAAAAAAAAATAAATTAAAAGAGACAGAGAAATGTGAAATATAACTGATTGGTATGTAAAACATTATAGGAATTTTTCTTGACTGTAATACAGTGAGGAGTGTGGGAAGGTTGTCAGTTGTTGTAAATGGTGGAAATTATTTGCTGTGTAACTATGTAAATGTTAATTGGGACTACAGTCCCTTATTTTGTATATTGGAGCAAAAAACTTCTATTAAATAAAGTATGTTCTCTAAAGATACGTACTGTATCCTTTGTGGAGCCCTAATAGTCAGTCAGCTGCCTTTTGTGCTTTGCAGTGTTTTCAAACCAAAAAAGTATCTGGAACTTCCTGTATTAAGCTGACTGCCCTGAGCTACGGAAGGCGAAGTGTGTTTATATACTCTGCGTTATGTATCTTACTCAATGTGTTGTTATGAAAACCGTTCAATGGCAGCCATCAGCAGGGTGATGTGAGTCTCTAGGGTTAGTTTTTTAGTAAGTCATTGGTTTCTGAGATAGAGGAGAAGGGAGTGTTTCGAAATACTGTTCTTTCTGCACTTCTGTTTCCTTTAAAAAAAGTGTATCTTGCTACAAAATATGCCTCCAAATTACCTAAGAGATTTCCTGGATCACCACTGTGTGGGAGGAAGAACAGAAGGAAAGAAAAATAGGAGTGTTTCCAGCACTAACATAGAGAGAGACTGACAACGAACAGGAGTCCAGCATCAGAAGAAAAAGGTGCAGCTGGTTACGGTATCCATGTATAATTTGGTATCATTCCTCACTTGGAGTACACAGTTCAGACCTTGACATATTTGTGTATTTGACGACCACATCCATGGCCTTTCTTTGCATAGAAATGGTGACTTTTAGGCGTTCAGCTACTTGTATGAAGGTTTAAAATGAATTGTGTTTTCAGAAGTTAGTCATAAATCAGATGGCATCTGCTTAGGTGACATTCAGGTGTTAGCACGTAGGGATTTGGTGCCACCTCAGATACTCTGCCAGACTTTGACATCTGCATAGGACTGGCAGGTATAACACAAGATCCACAGAAGATCTGCATCCTTCTGGAGCAGCAGCTTGAAGCTTGACATCCTGCTTTGTTCCCCATGTCTGTCTCAGTGTTTGACAAGCACTATTGCATGTGCAGTTTTTTGGATCATATACAGATGAAAGTCTGTATTGCTTAGCTACTTTTGGGGGGTGATGTTTGTAATGTTTAAAACCTGAAATATCTGAGGCCTCTAGTTACTTTCCTAATTCCCTTATTAAAATTAAAGGAACGTTATCTTGCACTGTTTGATCTGGTCTCTCAGCTCTAGGTTAAGGTATAGTCTTATTATTGGGGTCATCCTTGTAAGTAAAAGAAATTTTAATACATGAAATCTTCAGTCTTTGTTTACCAGAACTTATTTAGCTTTGTTTCTTCTTACCTTTTCCTACAGGAATTTCCACTTGCCCTTACCAGAAAGATCTTAACTGTGTGCAGTTATGTCATAAATTCCCTGTAACTACTTCTTTTTAGCTCTCTAACTGTTCATTCAAAACTAATAGTTGTCTCTTAGCATACTATACCTCCACAATGTGGATTATAAAAGAAGAGGGATGAATTCTCTTATGCACAAAGCTTTGTGTACTTATACACATGAAGAGGTGACATCTTTTTTTCTGTTTAACTGCTGACTTTGTTCAGTGACAGAATTCAATTTGGGCTGAAAAGATGGAGAGTGGGGGCTTTGAAAAAGTGTTGAAAATGCATTAACAACTGAGGATGCCAAAAAGGGTTGGGTGGTGTTTGGGTTTGTGGTTTTGGTTTTTTGTTTTCATTTTTGGGTTTGTTTGGGTTTTTTAAAGTTGTCTGAGAGCATTTATTTGAAATTGTATCCATAGATGAACCCAGCGCTCCATGTGTTTCTTCAGTTACCTTTACCTGTAGAGAAGAAAACTTCATTTCAGTTAATTATCATGCATGTTAATTATCTGTGGGCTGCAGTATTACATTGAAGATACTTTTGTGACTTTTCTGAAAGTTTAAACAATCCAGGTATGGCTTGTTTGCTTTCAAAGAGTGGCTTTACTGTATAAGATGTCCACTTCTTCCCCCATCTTTGTCTCTGTTGAAATTCAGGGTTTTTTTTCTCTCATGACAGTGCGATATGCACATTTTTTGTTTTTGGCCTTGTAAGGCTTCAAAGTCCTCTAACCTCTCACAATGTGAGATGTTTAATACATTAGTCTCTTTACATGTCAGACTCCAACTACTCAATTATTGCTGAAATGAATATTCTACATAATCTCTATTCAAGGGTTGTTCACTTCGCAGCAGCTTTGCTACTGATTGATTGCTATAAATGAACTATGCAAGTCAACTACCATGCAAACAAACACAGGCTTAATCTTTTAAATACAGAGATCTCTGAAATCTGTTGTTTCCAATTTTAATGATAGAGTGTGGTGAGGCAGAAATGAACCTTCTTTTGTTTATATTAAAAAATGGTTTTTTGGGTAACTTTAGTAAGAATGCGTTGGATATATAAGGAAGATTATTTGCAGACATCACTAGTTTTGAAATGAACTGAGTAAAAGCTTCTAGTTTCTTCATGAAAGTACAAATAAATTACATTCTTTTGCTCTAGTGGCTTGTGATTGCTGCTTGCAGAAGAGATTTCAAGGGCTCAGAAAAGAGCAAGGTACTCTGTACCTGGCTCTTTGTTATAGAACCTGTGTTGGCATCATTAGGGAGCTTTAATTACACATCAGTCGTGTCCTTGATCTGCATTCTGCAGCTTACCTTATCCAGGAGAGAGAGTGCACAGCAGGAATCTGTCTGGAAATAGAAAGAAGTAGCTTTACAATTATTTATTAACACACTAGATATGAAAGCAGCATCCTCCCAAAAGACAAAATACTACATTTAATGCAGATTTATGGTATTTGGAGAATTTAGGAGGTGCTCAAAACATCCTGCCATTTTAGGCTTTTTCATGCCTTTGTGTGTGTGTGTGTGTTTAATTTGCTATTTAGTCTATAGTCTATATTTGAAATTTACATCTGAACACAGATTTTTTAGGTGGATATGATTATATTGATGAGTGCTCCTCCAGAAACAATTTATGTATATATGTGAATCACAGGGAATGTAATCGTTTAATGGTCTGATCTAAAAGAATTTTTGACTATTCACTTGGACTCATTTTTGTATTTTCCATTACTGATTTTAGAAAACAAATACTGAAGATCTCCAAATATTTTATTAGCATGCTCTGTTATTAAGTGATTCAATATCCAGGGATGACTCAAAATCTCTGCTGTCAAGTATCAGCTGAATTTGTATGTCATCACATCGTAAGGCAGGTTAATAGACATTAACTGCTTTGAGGTGTGACTGTTATGTTACTTCAACTCTATTTCACTGACTGTCTCTTCATTGTAATGGCTGCTTTAATCAGCTCTGACGAGATGTGCTAACGACATTCAGCTCAAGTTACCTACTTTCATGCATGCACATTCCTTTGTGTTTCTAGAGGCTGATTATCCTAATGTTATGTCACATCAGTCTTCTCTCTGCATCTTCCATGTCAAGGAAGATTACTAATATGCACCCTCAGACAATGTTTGCTAAATTACTGAGTTGTATTTCAGAGATTACATCAATGTTTAAGATTTTTGCATCAGAAATACCTGAAGCTTTTTCTTTCCTAATCCTCATGCCTCTGTGGTGAAAATACTCTTCTATATGAAAAATTTAAAAAAAAAATTGGAATCATGGGATCGAACAAATACGACCTTGGTGTACCCTTTTCCTCCTCTTTTTAAGCAGACTGTAAAAGGCATGCAGTGTTTCTCCCTAAGGTTGTTACATAATCAGAAACATATTTGAAAAATGAAATGCTTGTTTTACAGAAGATGACCTTAGACTATTTTTGAGTTTGTTTATGGTTCAGCGTGAAGATATGGTGATGTCACACAGGGGTCTCTCAGAATGAGAAGCACGTTATGAGAAGAGCTGTTAGGAGCTAGATACAAAGGAATCTCACTGTAATTGCCAATCCCAGTGTATTCTAGCAGGACCCAAATTTTGCAGAGCAGCCATCAAGAGCCTTCAGTGAACATCAGGAGAAAAATCCCATTCAGCAGGACTATACTTGCTGTGCATATGCAGGTCTCTGAGACTGGCCACTGCTCTTTTTCGTTCCCTTTTTTTTGGGTAAAAGGGAGATAGACCACTTTGAAGATACAATTTCAATGTGTATAGGCTATGTATTCATTCTTTTTTTTTTTATCTTGCAAAATAACTCTAGTAACTTTCACTGAACTGCAGAGTATTTGGGGGAGGCACTGCAGGTTAGATCAAAAAGTATGTTCCATATGTATATCACAACACCAATTACCCTCTTTTTTTTCCATATTTTGCATATAGAAGAATTCATAACTCACCGGAGGAGAAAAGAGAGAAAAATTACTATAGTTCCTAAGCTGTCTTTTACCTTTATTCATTATGGGATTGTGTGCAAAGTAATATATATTTGTGGGGAAAAAAAACAGGTTAAAAAATAACTTGGGCATTTAAAAAAAAGTAGAATGCATGATAATTTTGTGCTTCAGTGAGTAATAGAAATTGCTAAAGAATGTGAAACAGTGGAATGTTGCTTTTGGGCAAGTTTGATAACTTTAAAAAGCAACAGCGTACTGAAAGCTTAGAGTGAGATGAAAAAAGCCTCAGAGGCTTGAAATCTCTAAGAACAATGACCATCCCACCAGACTGGCTGGTGAAGCAGTGTGTATTATACTGATTATTGGCTTGCACTGTGAGCTTGTGTGTCCAAAAAACGGCATCTCCTGGTGTTTACGTTGTACATCAGATACATCTACATCCATGAGAAGACACAGCTGTTTGTTCAACTGAAGACTTACATAAGGAACATACCTGGGATAATAATAACAGCATGTCAATATTTTTCTTTAACTGCACAAATACCAACTTCCATTTTGGAAACTGAGAAGGAACAATGTGAAAACACAGCTGCCATGTGTCGCCCCAAAAAAGATAAATCTTGGGTTTATATGGAGTTGCTGACTCCTGAGTAATCCCATCCCACTTCAGTGTTTCCCATCAAGAAAATGTGTTTCAAAGAGCTGCCACAAATCTCAGGAGGACCATGGCTTGCCTGCCACTTGTTCTGCTGTATTCTAGTGTTGCAGCCACCTACGTGAAGTGTAGATAAAAATTCCATCTTATAAAACATTCCTTGCAAATTAGTGGTATGCTTGTGTAGAAAGCTGCATAAGCTGGTTGCCTCCTCTTCCTCTAGTGTGCAACAGGCACAGCAGCTTCAAGGACTGAGCGTATCCTCAGTGGTTTTCATAGTAAAGACATCCTTGTTCTAACTTGCTCTGTTTGGTGGTTTTTAACTGAGGGGCATTTAGCATCTGCTCATGGAGATTATCTCATTAAACCATGATCTGACTCCAATTTCCATTGCTGGCAGGGCATGGATAGAAAACGTTTCCTGATGTTGCATGGCTGTTTGCATAAGTACTAAGAGCAACACTGCGTTTTTTGTTTA